GTATGTGCCGCCACTGCATAGCAGGCTTGTTGCGCACTTTATACCGGTGCCAGCTCTCCTCACTTCGAAACTTGATGCCTAACGGCGTCGGCATCACCTGACGGGGACCTCATCTATTCAGAAAAGGCGATAACGATAGAGCGAGATCCCTACTGGCGCCTTGAGAGGAAAGGGCCGGCGGTAAGAAATGGCAAAAAAACGAGGAGAAATTATTCGAACGGCATCTTTCTAGCTTCAACCGGGAATCTGCCGAATTAATTTTACTTTTCTGCGGAGGACGGTGCCATATTGATAAAAGAAGCAGGTCACTCAGCACTGGCAAGTCATTTTGCGGTTCGTCCGGATGCTGACGAGGTTAAGTAGAACATTATAATGCGGAGGGCAAGTTCGTCTGCTTCTTGCGCAGGGGGTAGCGGTGACGCCAGAACGCCGAGCCCTGATTGGCTGATCGCGACTCCCTATCTGAGCCTCGTCTGCTCCTTTGCAACGTCGTCTGCTTGCAACGTCGTCTGCGTCTCTCTTACCTTGCCTGAGACTTTGGAAAGTGCAGAGGCCAGAGGTCAGGTTCACAAAACGATCTTACCCCAAAAATATGCGTAAGACAAAACTTGAGAAAAAATTCGTATTTTCGTAAGTTTGCCGCAGGACACGACGAAATCCTACGACAGCTCCGAAGCTGTCTTACGCACTTCTTACGATCAAATCAACATGGCCGACAGCGTCGCGGTCGCGACGATCAACGGTCATTTATTTTTCTACGTGCGCTTCTCACGCGTCCCGACTTCAAGCAGCAAGATAATAGTAAAAAGTACTTGAAACAGACCACGACGAACAAGAACGCGAAATTCACAAACACCCGGGAAAAGCTCCAACGGCCCCGATTCTACCGAAAACGGCCAAGCGAGCTCGGCAGATAGGCCTAGCAGGCACTCCGACTCGGCGACCGTCTGCCCACGACCGGCTGGCGTGCTGAATGGAATATGCCCGCGCGACCCTTGTGAACCCTTCCCGTTTTATACTTCGATCGCTGACCTCAATTTTAGATTAAGAGGTCAATCTCTTCCTCTTTTCCTCTCCTTGTTTTCCGAGGCAACGGTGACTCTCGCCGGTGAAAAAGCGGTGAATCTCCGACAGACGCAGGAAAGGTAAAGCAGGCATCGCTTTGACTAGCAGACGTAAAGCAGACGACGTTAACTGCGCCAACCTGCCGACGCCATTAAAGAGTGAGGAGTCGCGCCGCACACGAAAGGAGAGAAAAAGTATTTGGGAGAAACTTGCGGACACTAACACGCTCACTCTCGGTTCTTAGCAAACAAACCTCGGCGCCTCGGGACACCTCGCCAGTGAGTCCTTTGACTTCCCTCCTTGATGCGGGTCTGCTAGTTGTTAGCCAAAAACAGCGTACCGCTCGAGTTATTTCGTCTGCCCTCTCTGAAAGGCGAAGTCGAGCTCGCTCGTAAAGAAAGACCTGCACTTCCGAAAGTCGCAGGAAAGGAAAGACAGACGCAGACGACGTTGCGAGCAGACGACATTGCAAAGGAGCAGACGACGCTGAGATAGGGGGTCGCGATCAGCCAATCGGGGCTCGGCGTTCTGACGTCACCGCTACTTCCTTTCTCATGCGCAGAAGACGAAAATGAGGCCACTTGCGAGGCCGTATTGCTTTATTTTCTAATCTAGGAAGATAGCTGGTGTCGTGTTGACTCATCAGTAATTTGTCACCGCCTCTGTTCAGTTCCATCGGTTCAATTCGTGCATTTAGCAAATCAACTACCGCAAAGAAAAAAAAATAATTGTACGCCTTTCGCTTTGTTATGCTTATGTAACACCTATCTGAGCGAAAGTTGTAATAATGCATTGATTTTTCTGGAGTTAACCTAATTCACCTCTTCCTTGTCACTAAACGAGTGAGAAAGTTTTAAACCTGAATATACTGGTTTGGACACAATACTGGCCTGTGTCATGAACGACCTTTCCTTTATGTGCCCGAATCGTCCGAGTGGGTAAGAGTGCTTTCTTTTATGTGCACTGCGTGCCGTAAACATTTATGGTTTGTTTGCATAAACCGAACTTCTTCCGTGCTCTCTCTATGCAAGTGGTTGCCACGAAGTTACGAACGCCAAAGGCGGCTCCTCGTTGATGCTTAAGACCTGACGGACAAAAATCGACGGCTCCTTTCTTTTTGCTCATGGCCCGGCTGAGCGAAGAGAAGGGAGCCTTCGATCCGTGTGTGTCAGGTGACACATTAGCGATGAGTAAACACGACACAACTATCCTCATAGTTGAGAAAACAAAACAATCAGATTTTCCTACTTAACCTCATCAGCATCCGCACAAACCGCAGAATTACTTGCCTGTGCCAAGTGATCTGCTTTAACATGGCACCGTACTCAAGCGAAAAAATAAACTTTCTTGGGCAAGCTCCCGAGTGCAACTAACTTAGTGGTCGTTCGAAACAAAACCCCTCCTTTTTCTGCCCTTTCTTGCCGTCGGTCCTTTCCTTTTAAGACCCGGTAAGGGTTTCGCTCTACCGTTATAGCGTTTCCTGGATAGAAGTTCCCGTCAGGTGATGCCAACGCAGTTAGGCATCAAGTTTCGAAGTGAGGAGAGCTGACATCGGTACAAAGTGCGCAACGACCCTGCTATGCAGTGGCGGCACGTACGATTATCACACCATATTCGTTGTTATTTGCGGTACAGCCGAAAAAAAGGAGTGAAAGCGACCGCGGGGAACTGTGGCGCGTCTTCAGTTGTAAAGAGTGACTGTATACGCAATGCAGTTGCGAGTCAAGAATACGCATGCGTAGAGCCCTTTGCGAAAATCACACTCCCGAGCAGCAATTGCCTTGAGTGCGCCCAATGCTCATAAACTGTAGTGTCAGCTCTCGCGTCTGGTGGAGTTTTGTGCGGTGAAGAGGCGCTAAGAGACAATGGCAGGTTGCGACACGGAAGCTCAACTTCAATATTGTATTTTCTCACTTTAGAAATAATTTTTTTTATTAAACGTTCAGAAATAACAAGCAATAAACTCTTTTTCGAAAATCCGTTTTTTTGTGTGTTTTTACTTGAACCACCTCAAGGTAAAATAAACGACTGTTTAGGCACCAAAACTGACTTTTTTTGGAAACTTTCAAATTTTATTTTTTAAGTTCTTAGTCGCAGTGTTCCAAGCATTTTTCATTTGTAATATATTATAGGGCTTCCAATAGCGAAAGGTATAATTTCCGGGCAGAAAGCGATAATTGAAACAAATTGAGAACTATACAATTTCTTTGCGTTTTAAAATCATTGTTTAAATATATTTTAACAATAAAAGTTTTATAATTATCACAACATCGCAAGCAAAAAAACCGTTAGAATTTTATAAAATAATTTGTGAAGCGCTTCTAAAAAAAAAAAAAATCTACGAAGGCACGCTGCGCTGAGCCCGGCTGGGCAACTATTGCGGATGCTGTCCGGGCGGGCTCTGGGCCACCCGCTCCGCAGAGCCCGGCCACCCTCTTTCTCTTACCGGCGGCCGGGCCGCTGCTCCATGGCAGCGGGGCGGCGTTCCTTGAAACTATGCCGCGCGCCAGCCAATGGGAGTCTATCCATCATTCGCTGCTACAGACTACAGGCTTCGCTCCATCAGACAGGGGAATTCATGGGACGTTTGGAGCGGCTTCAAAAGCCATAAGACAGTTAATTCTTTCGCAATAAAATTAAAACTTTATTATACGGCGAGAAAGTGCTCCAAATGAGCCTTCGGCGCATCGAAACGCAAGGATGGACGCGCCAATCCAAAGGCAACTGGCAGAATCCACACGAAACGCGCGATGGCAAGGCAGCCAACCGCGCGCCATCATTGATTGAGGTCAGGGGAGACACAAGCACATAAAGGCATATTTGGGGAGCTAAGAAACGCACGAGGTGCACGAAGAGCAGATGAACTTGCACGCCGAGTGTAATGATGCCTAGTTTTACTTCCATTTTAAAACTTAAAACCACGCTCAGGCATTAAAAAAATCGGCCATAATATTTTGGCAGAACGATAAGGACCTTAGGCTAAAAAGTCAAAACTTTTCTATTAAAAATCAGATATGACCGAGCTCCTTTTATCCTTTTGGCCTTTTTATCGGAAAAGGACAGTTGAAAATGGGGCTTCCTTGGTCCGATTTTGAGCTGAAGGATACTTCAGTAAACGTCGTGAATTGGTGAAGAAGGATTCTGCCTGTATTTCCTTCGGTCCCATGACATTATGACACAAAACTCAGAATATTTGCAAGTAGTAGGGCCTCCGGGACACCTTATTTTAAAAATATATTTCAGAAAGCAAAATTTTAATGAATTAAAATTACATTGATTCAAATACATAGGTTGAACGAACTGTAGCGAGTGCAAACAAGCCAAATTTTCTTCTGTTTTTTTTTTTTTTTTTTTTTTTTTTTACGGCATATACCGTCAAATCTCACGTCTGATTTCAGTTTGACTTTGCTTTTCTCAGTAAATATAGAACTCATTATCAAAAACATGATTGACTGCTGTGTTGTCTATTGACACCATAATTTTGCGATTCTTAAGGAAATTAGAATAGCCTTTATATTTCGCTGTGTAAATGTATTAAAAATTTTGCAAAGAACATAACGTTTAGTCAAAGTTTTCTTTTAAGGTTTAAAACTGCAAACAGGCAGGGGCGATATAAAATAACACAAACTACAGGGAAGCGCCTTGTCCCTGTCGTTTGTGTTATTTTCTATCGTCCCTATATGTTTGCGCTTTTAAACCTTATACCTACCATAAACCAACTAGCCCAAACCAAGGTTTTATTAAGTCATTTTTCTTTGAAGTTTTGATACACAGAAAGATATAAAAGTCGGCATCGCAAAGTTTGTACGAGCTTTGTGTGGCTGTGTCTAAAAAGCACGGGAAGTCATAACTAAATAGGCACTCCACGACTTTTTGATGTATATGCTTTCGAGCTTCGTAGACGAATGTAAAGCTCCCCAAAGAAAACGACATACCTCAAAGCAGGTGTCAGCTGCCTGAGTGTTGTAGTCTGTCCAAATAATGCCATGTTAAACTAATCCACATTGCCACCATCCAGTTTGCTTTGGCTCTTCCTGCAGAAAAAAAATTTCAACATTAACCTTTTTATTTGCCTTCAATGACTGATTGGGTAACCAGGCTGGAGAAACCTTTGGTCAACCCCTTTTTCTACGTGCGTATTTGTAACTGTCCCTGGGAAAAAACAAGTAGTCATCAAAACTTTAAACGGGATCACTGATTGAATTTTTCCTGGATTGGATTCGCCTCGGGCATTGGTAGAGCAAATATAGCAGACGACAGAGAGGTGCGTTTTTCATCGTCGAAGGACCATTCAATAATTTATACTTTTCACGGCAATAAATTATTTTCCCTTTGAGAGTGAAGACTATGAAGACTTGCTATCCCTAGAGTATCTTTGCTGGGAAAGACATTCTTGATTAGAAAATTAGAGTAGTGCAGTTATTGCAGTGTTGGTGTGTTTTCTTTATACAGTTACTCCCGTATTGTGAATCCTACCACGAAGTCTAAACGAACTTGCGAATAAAATGTTTTCTCTTGGAGGTTGAATGGTTCCAGGAATTTTTATATTAGTATGAGAAAGTTGGACAGTCTACCGGCTTTGCAGTTCAAGTTCGTCGTATGTGTGCGTGTCTGTTTGTGTGTGTGCGCGCGCGTTCGTGTGTAAACTTATGCGTGCGTGGTTCATTCAAGTGTTCCAGCACGAAGACCAAATCGGAGAGCAAGTGAGGATAAGTTGAAGAACGGACTACGTATAAGAGCGATGTTGTTGTTTTTTTTGTTTTTTTTTTAGAATTATAAATACACAAGAACAATACAGATTAACCCGTGCTAGTTCAAAATAGACGAATAAGAGATGACAAGACGTCATTTACTCGTATCTATAAAATACTGCCCTCCAACGAAGCAGGGGGCGTAAGTAACCTGCAGTGAACAACCTGCTTTTGGAACGAGAGTTCTGATGTCATTGAGTAAGGAATAAAAGCCTTGCTTCAAAATCTGAATCTAGTAAGTGTTTAAACTCAGATCATGTCTTAGGCATATTTGCCAAAGGCCTCCAAAAATTACATATCAGTTCCCAGACACCAACAAGCATTCTGTAAAACCCTTAATTTTCGCGAGCACTTAATTTCTGCAAATTTCGCGAATTGAAAAAATTCGCGAAATGTGAGGGCACGCGAAAATTTCGATCCTTAAGAGTTTCAATGCAGGCGTCTGGAATTCACGAACTTTAGTGACCGCGATTAAGTCTTCTGTGACCAATTCGCGAAAAATAGGGGCAGTGAAATAAAGGGTTTAGAGTATTACCCCAGTATAATGTCCGGTCCTGAGAAAGTAAAAGCGGAGAGCTCGTTTAAGTGATTAGTTAAAACAATATATTGTGTAGGTTAACAATACCAAGCATATCAAGGATTAGTTGTTTTGGCGGCTTGAGGCAAGACTACTCTACTATGACAACACCGGTTCACGCCGTAGACAGATGTTGATATCAAGTGAACTAGACAAGTTGAAAGTGAGATTAATGTGATCATATTTTAAGTAAATTGTCTTAAATGTTTTGTTGCTTTTCCAAGACAATTTCTTTAATGTTTTGTTTTTAATCTTAGGTGAATATTCAATTAATGAGAGTTTATAAATTTCGGCAGTAATTATATCTTCTTTATGCAGTTTTCTTAACTTAACGCTTAGACAAGTTAATAAATAGTGGAATTAAATGTAAACACTATGGGCTACTGTTCTTTTTCTCATTAAAGAGTATTGTTTAGCAGCATTTTCCAGAGTTGGAAAAATCCGCGACACAAAAAAAGGGCGGTAGCTCTTTTAATAAACGTGTGTATAATTATACTTAATTAAAAATGGCATGCTTGCAGCCTCTGAGGCAAAGTTTAATAGCGTCCTGCTCAAATGAAGTAGTTTTAATTTTTTAATCGTTATTAAACTTGCCTGTTTGGCCACTGCTCATTAGTAATGTATCTTTATGTAGTAAATTAGTAATGTCGTGCAAGAGCGTCCACTTATGTTGATGGCCATGCAGACGTCATAATCTGCGAATAATCTTACTCACCTACAGAAGAACTATCTTCGGCAAAAGAGAAGCTAGCTTGATGGGTGACATTTAGGATGATTATAGCATCGTCTATGCCTTTGGCGTTTCTGGCAACGAACAATATTTCCCCGGCATCTTCGTGATGCACCGATTTAATTTCCAGAGAGGTCGTTCGGCAAAACGGTGCATCGGCGCTCTGGAACAAAACAGAAGAGCATCATCGTAATATTTGAAACATCTCTCCAATAGGAGACAAAACATATCCATGAGTGTTCTGTAGCTGCGCCTCTCTTTGAGCTGGTCTCCTCTTATTCCGGGGTAAAATTCGCAATTACGTCGCCTTAAAAGAAAAAAAGAACAAGAAAATTCTGACGAGTAGTTTCAAATATTAATTCGGTATTTCTAGCCCGAGGCATAACTATGTAAGATCATCTAAAATGTATTAAAAGAAAAAAATGCCGTACCTTTTAGCGCACATCTATGATACCGTTTAATACAGTCAGCGAGTCGGTAGTATCTAAAACCGCTCTAAAACCTGAGAACATTTTTGAATCAGATTATACACAATGAAGGTTATATTCAGTGAACCTTGTAAAAGCTATGTACGCCTAATCTCTCGTTCGCTGCCAGGTTTGTTTACTAATCTTTGGGCCAAAATGTTTCCGAGACTTCGCAAATTTGCTTCATTTAGATAAAGTATGTATAGCAAAAATTTGTCCCTTTTATCTGTTCAGTGCATGTGATTTCTTTAGGAACAAGCATTAGCTTGTTGATTCCAAATAGGTCTTTGTGGGCTCTAACATTCCAGTTTGCAGTTAGCTTAAAACTGTTTTATGTAGTGACTATTTGAAGGTTGAAATGATCATTACTACTGCACTTCTAGATCGAAGATTTATTCTGCGTGTTTAGACTTTAAAATAAATGCAAATATTCGTATATCTTCATGATGTATGACAAACATGCAAAACACGAGTACAAACAATAACGTATAAGCACGACAACCAGTGCTTTTTATTATTTAAGCTAGGTTTATATTCTCATTCACGAGGCACTGACTGCTCGTTATTTTAATTTAGCTTCAGTTGCTATTATGAACATTTATATGCATTTCTGTAAAAATATATTTGACTCGCTAGACTCACTAAAAAACAGGACTTGTGCGTGTCCACATTATCTCTGCTTTGTGCAGTCGTGTGCAGAGCACACTTACAGTCAAGGAAATTGGGCATAACATTAAAACCCGAAATCGTAAAACGTTGTTTTATTTATTGATGATAGTGCTGTATAAAATATATATAATCTCTCTATACGTAGCGGAGTGACAGTAAAATAAAGTTACTAGCAGCTCTATTGAATATTTGATTATAAACCCGCATTATTCATATAAAACTATCCATAGTTGCAGAAAGCGAAGCACATACACTGTAGTTGTGGGCTATATATTGAGAACGGCTGACGTCTCCGGGGCTGAGAAGTGTTCTCCCTACAATCCAGTAGGCACGAGTCGGGGGCGGATTGGCACAGACAAGCACCGACACCCTGACGGGCTTCCCGAGGATGGCCATCAAGGTCTTGTTCAGGGCCTTGACATCTGGGCGACCTGCATGGCGCAAGAAGACGGTTCATTTGAAACATGCGGTTTGCGAAGCTTTGTCAAATGCTAAAGATCGCGTCCGGCACGTAGCAAACGAAGTTTGGAAACCGAGACGCGAGTATCAACTTTCGAGATAAAAGTTGGATTTCTGTAAAAAGAAATGAAAAAAGTTTACAAATCTCTGTAATTCGAAAATAGAGCGCAGCTCCTGAGGAGGAGGAGAGGAAGGTATGCCCCTCTTCGTTCTCCATACCCTCCCCTCCACTCCTCCTCCTACTAGCCTCTTTCTCTCCTCTTCCTTCTCCTACCTTCCTCCTCCTCCTCTGTTCCTGCCGCTGACTTTGTTCATGGGTGGAGGGACACGAAGTCGTGACGTCATTTTCCCCGTTGAACTTAGCGGGGAAACTGCATTGGTTTCGAAGTTACGTGATGTCCACTTCCCCGATAAATTCATCGCGGAAACTTAACTCGCTAAATTTAGACGGGAAACGTAACCCGCAAAAATTAAGGTGGGAAACGTTGCATAAAGGGCTGTTTATACTCCGACGTCGACGGACGCAACGCGCGCCGGCGCAGACACGACGTTCGTCGGCCACTACGTTGCGCCGAGAAGCGCGCGAACGATGGTGTTTACAGTCCAGCGCAGACCAACGCTGGTCCAGCGCGCCCCGACGAACTGACCCACTTTACGCATGCGCGTCTCCGAGGCAACCGCATCGTCTCTACTGGTTATCTATGGGCGGTAGCTTGCGCCATCTAGTCTAGAGGCAATCGGTCAGTGTGGTTCGTCCTCATGTTGTCATGTCACGCTTCAAAACCACCATTCGGGGTAGCGGTTAGCAGCTCAAAAACAAGCAAATGATTGTGATAACAAGTGCAAACCAGCAATTATTTCCTCCTAAATGCGACACAAATGTCAACGAAAAAAAAAAGCCGATAAATGTCGAATTTAGCTGCTTGCAGGTTCGCCGGAATCGTGCGAAGCGACCCCGCCAATTTCGCCGGAATGCTTCAATGAAATCCATGCACTCGATACTCCACAGAAACCTCTTTCTGACAGGTAGCCGGTATGTTATTATCATAGTAGACTTTCATGCTGATTTAAGAAACGGACACCGAAGAGAGCGGACGGTGCCTAAATTACGCAATGTTCGCGTTCGAAATGGTAACGCACTTTACAAAGCCTATACAAACAATACAGGATTCAGTCCAATCGTCATCGCGTATCGCTACAATAGCTTACAAGCTGAGACCATTTACAAACTGGGACAGCCCAATCGAAAATTTCTGGCCGGCTAAATAGTTCAGAGGTTTCCATTACCGCCGCTCCCGTACATTCGACGACGCTTTTTCGATCGGGAACGACTGCCGGTGAGTGCGATTGGCACATGATCATAAATAGCACACACACTAGGTCACCCTTAATTCTAGTTAACCCTACCTCTGGCGCGTCATCGAGCTTCCAACTTCTGCCGGCACCCCAACACCACCGGCTCGTTAGGTCGATAGGCCTATCGAAAATCGAGGGTAGCGCATTTTCGGAGCGGTCCACGTCCACGCACACAACCGCCCAGTCAAGCGCACGAACGTTAAATAAGCACACCAACACGGGAACACGACAAAAGCACACGACACACGGAAAGAACGACAGGTTCAAAACCTAGAAACCAGCATCTCCAACACTTTGACCGGCCCCGACGACCCCGCCAACCGGATTCTCGAATGAGGCATTCGCGCGAGGGCTTCTGGGATAGCCTGCGTCGGCAGCGCCGACGTCCAACGTCGAACGTAGAGCATGTCCAAGTCCGTCGTGAGCTACGACGTCGCGCGTCGAGCTGCTCAGCGCGACGCCGCGTTCAACTTGACGTTGGGGTATAGACACCGCGTTCGCAGAGAGCGCCAACGAGCGTGAACGAGCGCGCGCGCTCGTAGGCGTTACGACGGAGTATAAACAGCCCTTAATGCAACGCGCGCGGTTACGCCGACGCCGGTGGCGACGCCGCTCAAGCCGGAAACGGGCGCCTAAGGGGGTGTCCAAACAGGACACTACAAAACGCACGACTCCGACAAATCGTGAAAATTTAAGCGGACGCGCCCGCTTCGCGCCCGCTTCAATTTTCACGATTTGTCGGAGTCGTGCGTTTTGTAGTGTCCTGTTTGGACACCCCTTAAGAGGTCCGGTTTAAAAAGTGAAGCACAGGCTCCCGTCTCGACGTAACTGAGCTTCTGGTGCATTGATAATACTTTGTCCACCGCTAGCTGAAAGAGTGGTGGAAGATAAGTGCTTGCTCGTTGGGCCAGTCGCACGTATATCTTTCGTCACGTGATCACGCTGTCCACCTTACCCATTAGCAGAGAGCGGGGCCAGGTGATTAAAAAGAGGCGGTTGACCGGTCCAGCTAGCGTGCAGCCCCCACCGTGCTCTCAGCTCAGAGGTGAACGGAGTGTTGCTTGTCAGAAAACATGGTACAATTCAGCTAAAATACGGAATTTCGTATATATTTATTGACACTTAAAATAAGAATTCCCCGAAGCGCAGAAAATAACTAGGTGAGACACGTCACACCATTGAAGAAGACGCACCGACGGAAATCTGGGAGAAAAAGAAACGCGATTTACACGAGGGAAAGTATTCGGCAGCTAACATATGTTCATCGCAAGTTTCCGTTTGACTTGGGAAAGTCGATCGGCTCACCTGAAATGGTGAGTAGGATGTCCCTGGTCCTGGCACGCTCCTCCTTCCATCCGAGGTGGTTGGTGGCGGTGCACTGATAGCTTCCGGCGTCCGAGTACAATACTGGATCGAGCACGAGCGAGCTCTCGGCCGCCATGCTCTCGAGTCTGCCCGACCGGACGCGGGTCCAGCAGTAGGACGGGGGAGGCTTCCCATCTGCCTTGCAGTCCAGCTGAACGGGCTCGCCGAAATCTGCATTCACCTGGGACGGGGGCTGGTCCACGATCTCTGGACCATCTGCTGGACGAAGGAAGGGAACAAAGCCATTTTGGGCTACATGAAGTATGCTCAAGAGGAAGACATATCTGAAAAGGTTGAGCCACGGCCGGGCTAGAGTGAAGTTGCACGTTCTCTTACGGCCTTCGCATTCGGTGTCATATCTCCTTGCCGCCGCAACTCGATAAGGTGTAGTACCCTACACTTACTAAAGCGCTAAACCCCTTTTGTGGAGGCACCCCAATTTCCTGGTGCTGGTCCCTTTGCTTCTAATTATGCTAGAGCGATTCCCAGAGAAGTTAGTCACGTGTGATGAGACAGCCTTTCTGCAGGGACTTACGCGGATCACCTTTTTCTAGTAGTCTTCCCGAAAAATAAACCTTTAAAAAAAAAAAGCATCGACTTACTGGAAGTCAAAACATTTCGTATGAGCGCACTGCAGTTATTATAGATGATTATATTACCACCCGTTTTCAAAGACGGCGGTTGAAACTTATGTTCAAGGTAACTGAGGCATGCAGTACTGAAAAGGGTAGTGTGGTCGCGTCCTCAGGTGGCTAGAAACAATCTCATTGCTCATAGGTGAGAGAAAATGTGGTAAGAAAATGCGCGTTCAAGTCCGTCCCTGGTTGAGCGGCGAAAAATACAACTTACAAAAAAAATGAAGCGAGTTTCAATTGAAAGTGTAAATAATTCACTCAGTACACCGCGTTGAGTTTCAATTGAAACCAGTCTTGTACACGTTACTAAAAAAAAGTAATCGATTACAATTACTATTACTCTTGGCTAAAAGTATTCGATTAGATTACTTGATTACTCGACGGCAAAAGTAATTGGACATTACTTAAGGAAGTAATCGTTACTTTTCCGATTACTTTATTGTGTGAAGACACATCTTTAGCGCTCATAACAATGAACTACTTCCAACCTATATTTCACATTTGCACAATTATTGAAGGAGAAAAACTGGCTCCCTCTTCGTGGTCGTTGCACCTTCACAATGCGGACACAAGCATAGAATTCATTTGAAGATGTTTAATGATTTGGGCGTTCGCCAGTGTGTGTGTGTGTGTGGGAGGGGGGGGGGGGGAAGCGGAGGGAATTCTAGATCTTGTTAAGCTTGAGCAAGGGTTGTCGCTCAAAGTTTGCGTCGCTCATTTTATTATTCACATGTGGATGAGCTCGCATGTTATACAAAAGAGCAGCAGCTCCAGGATTTGAAACGGATCATGTGTAGTATTCATTAGCGGAAGAGATCGCCCGACCACTTCTCAACTCGAAACATTGCTTGTCACAAAGACCACGTAGGGAAATGGGAAAATATTTCAACTGCCTTTGTTACATTTTGCATCCGCTTTAGGCATTCTTCGGTCCTAGTTCTCCTACGGGCTGCGAGTAGGTACCCTTAGCAGAATTGTTTTTGTTTATTTCTCTGTGTGTGTGCGTGAGGAGGCTAGTTCGAACGAAGGACTCACAAAGCTACATTCTGCTTCCTCAAACTTCGCCCTGAGTGGCCTTTGTCAAACACTGGCTTTCCGGGGGCTTCCCACTCCCAGTCCCAGCTCGAAAAAAAAAAACAAAAAAACCGAACATTCCACAGAAACTATACATACAAAGTGGTTGACCTTGTTTCCTACAGCTCCGTAAAAATCTTTCTTTTTTTCCGCTCAAAAAAAAAAAAAAGCAAATTTTTTTTTGTTATTTTATAAAAAAAGTCGTGTGCCCGGGGGGGGGGGGGGGGGGGGGGGGGGGGGGGTCCCGTGGACAAATTGTAACGGTTACAAGTAATTTTATTACTTCAAAAAGTAATCAGATTACTCTTGTGATTACTGCCTAATAAAAGTAATCAACTGATTACAAGATTACTCCAAAAAGTAATCGATTACAAGTAATTTGATTACTTGTAATGCGTACGGTACAAGTCTGATTGAAACTTAATAGGTTTTTTCTTTTAAGTTCCTATTGAACCGCCACCACCGAGTTTTAACCTGATTCAGCAATTGTGTTTCAATACAATTAGTGATGATAGTGCTTTAATTGAATTCTTGCAAATGTGTTTCACTCTATACTTTGAAATTAAGTGTGAATAAAATTTTTGCAACTGCGATTCAATGGATTTTTTTTTCTTTTTTTTGCAAGGGTGTAAAAAATTTGCAATTTGTCCGGAATTTTTATCTTATAATTCCTTAGAGCGTGAAACACAGAGGAAACTAGCACAACCATCATAAAGCACTCACAACACACTAATCACACTTCCCTTGAATACGACCCTCCGGCCTATATTCCCTACATATGAAACCTATTCATTTGGCCGGTGACTACCTCAGAATTTATTAAGGTTCCCAGTACGCTATCTCCTTCTCGGAAGTTTGATAAATGCTAAATAGAGTTTCGACGTCATTAAACTCTATCCCTTAATAAAAACAAATATTGGTACAAGCAATATTCGTTCGGTACAGTCGCTAAATCCACAAAAGCAATTCTTAGTCGGTGTGTTATCGCTTCTCTGCATAGCACCACTCAGGACAGGACGAGGCACGGTAGTTGCTCACTTTAAAATATTTCATTTCGCTTATTTCGTTTACAAGGTGGCCACTAGAATAGACTCAATGATGTCACTAAAATGATTGAAAGAGTAAAAACAGCATGGCGTGTCTTTCAAACACCCGGCCTTTAGCACGCGCTCCATGCCTTCAAAAGTGTGGTAAGCTGGGCGAGTTCGTACGAGTTGTTTGTCGTGCATTTTTCTTTTCTCTGTCCTTGTCTTTTTGTGTGTGGTTCTGTTCACTATGATTCCATGCCTTTTACCGTTTTTTCACATTGGAGACAAGTGAAGCCGCTCCCAGTTGTTCTTACCTTGTTAGTGACCCTAGAGTTGTTATAATGCAAGCTATGCTGTCGAAGGCGTCAAAAGTTTTGGATTCCATTTCTTGCACAAATGAACCTGAGCAAATATGTTTATCCTCAGAGACTTAAGAGTACTCATGGTTATTCGCAGCTGCGCCCTCGCTAGGTTCCTCAACAGCAAGGGGCGCAAACCAGCTGATGTCAACTACTCAATGATAAAAACTCGTTTGAATCTCTTATGAGTAAAAAAAAAATGTCTGTCAAGTAAAAAAATAGAAGTGCATGTCCAGTGACTAATTAAAAAACTAAACGACAAACCTCATATATATATATATATATATATATATATATATATATATAATAACTAAACTTAAAATCATAGTGAAACTCATTTGCAAATATATTAAGTAAATTCAAAATAATTGACATTGAGTTCTTGATGATAAACCTCGTTGGCATATGCAATGAGTAAGTTCAAATAAATAGATATTAAGTTCACAATAAGCAAACCCAATTGCATTCTTCATGTGTAAATTCAAAAATATGTATATTGAGTTTATAACGAGCCAACTCAATTGTATTCTTATGAGTAAATTCAGAATAATATATGTCGCATTTCAAGGAACGAACTCAGTTTAATTTTAACGAGTAAATTGAAAAGAATATATATTGATTTCTTAGTGACCTAACTAGATTTCGTTCTTAATGAGTAAATTCAATATAATCGATCTTGAATTTTTATGACCAAACTGAATTGCATTCCTAATGAGTCAATTCAATATAATTATTATTCAGTTTCTATGACCAAACTCAATTGCGTTCCTGATGAGTAAATTTAATAGAATCAATATTTAGTTTCTTATGATCACACTCATTAGGTCTTGAGTTTATATTTATTTTCAATAGACGCCATAGGAGTACATTAGAAACTCCATTGAAACTCGTTGATCATTTTTGTCAGGAACGTGTGGGTCAACGTCGCGAACAAGGACGATGAATCACTGGTACGTAGCCAAGTAGCTCCTAGAAGTAAATTTTTTTAGCTGTGTGAAAAATCGTACATAAAAACGGGAACGTTTTTTATTTACGCCATTCGCAGCACTCCTGTATTTTTTTTTTTTTAACGGTGGTCAGGCGTAATGAACACATTGGGTTTGCATTGCGCAGACATCACCACTTTCCGCCCACTTTGATCAGAGAACATGCAGTCGGAGTATAATTTGGAAGGATATGAGTGCCCAGTAGCGTGTTGGCACTCAACCTGTAATATAAAACGTAGCGCTGATCTTGCATTTGCGGTAATAGCGTCAAAGTTCACGCAAGCGTAGCTTCGTACACGCGTCAGAGACGTTTGGCACGTTCAACGCACTATTGAACTTCAAAGTTAACGTTTTGCGTCATTTTGTATGGCATGAGATGGGAAATCGACGCTGGGCATTCAGTGGTGGTAAGCAAGGAAGAGTTCTATTCATAACATGTGGTGGTCGAGACAAACTAACAGCAGATAACGGTTTAAATATTTCCACATTCTTGTCACGAGGAAACGTGCTAGCACCAGTATCATGAGTCGCAATTTTAGCTTTTAAAAGATCAGCGGTATTGCTCTTGATTACCGATATTATCAGGGAAATGTTTACAACTATAGGAGAGAAAAAAAAGGCCTTCAAGACCATTTTTATAAAGGTGCTTGGAAATCCAGAGAACGACATAACACAAATATTGTTGCTGTAATGCGAACAATCTCTATTTGTACAGTTCACCCCCACACGCAAAAATGTATAGAGTACTTCTGGTAAATACTGATTTTTTTTCTCTAAATGGTGGACAATTATTATGTCACAAGGGAAACTTCATTTTCATGAATTTCTAATAATGAAAAAGCTGTGTAATGCAGCAAGCACATACGTCAAAATGTAATCAACTTTTGCGTACAATCTTGAGCATATTTATACGAGCTAGTTTAAGAAATTCGAGGTTAGTTCTATTATTTTTTTTTTGCATATCATTGATTAAATTGCGGAAATGATGAAACATTCTTTTATTTTTTTATTATGCACTCAGGGAGCGAAAAAATGAGCCTCAAAGACCTCCTTCTGGGGACCTTTTTTCTGCATGACTCATGCAGATAAATGACTCTTTGAACCCTTTTTGCGCTCCGGGAAATAAACGACGTC